AACTTCACAGAGGCATTCAAGTGTCCCAACTGTTCCCCTAAAAGCATAAAAAACTATTTGGAATGAATGCCTCCATTTTGAGACATATAGATGAAATTTATAGAACACTTATGGGTCAGCAGGAGTGAGGTATGATGCCAAAATGTGCAAAGGAGTAAAAACTGGTTATTGTCCTTGGTAACCATATGAAAACAAAAGTTTCTAATGTGTATCTTGCTAAAATATGGAAGGCAGGTTCAGATATTGTGAAGAAATGCTGTACTGTGGGAAATGTGAAGTTGGGTATAAAGTTAGCTTTAGCATGTTCTGCAAGCACTGCATCCTTAGAACAAATTTTTTCAGTCAGGGATACTGTCTAAGATGAGAACAGGGAATGCATGAGTAGAGCCAACATCACCCGCATTGCTACTAAGTTTACATCATCATGCATTGACTTTTATACTTGTTAAATCGGATATCAACTTCAAGAAAAAAATCCCGTCTTCTAACAAGTCAGTACTTGGAAGCCTATCTAGCAGCCCTTTGATTCATGAAGTGGCGGTGTTCTGTATAACTCATTTTGCTACCTCAGAAGCTAAAACTGCCAGAATGGGGTCCAAGCCCAACTCAGCTTACAGGCAGTCCCCCTCCGAAGCCAGGCATGTTAAAAGAAGACCCTTCTACCTCTTTGGTATTCACCTCATGCTATCTGAATTAGGTATCTTCATTTGCTATATACACAGTGTTTAGAAATGCAGGGCTTGCCCATTTGTGGCTCACCCAGTTCTATAGCAGCCCAGGATGAGTCTGCAGACTCAGAAGAAGGAACGAAATGTGCTTAGTCTCTTTCGTCCCTCTCTCTCTAGTTTCTCATTTCAAAAGGCCATGACAGTCCTAGAGGTGAAGCAAGTAGCTATATCTACACACACACACACACACACACACACACACACACACATTGTGTGTGTGTGTGTGTGTGTCGTGTGTGTATTTAAATTAATAACAGTGACATACCAGGTGTTTGGAGCACCTAAAACAGTTTAGTGAAAGATAAAAACAGGGCTCAAAAGCACCCAGGCCAGGAGAAAATCGAAAGCGCTAGTGGGTGCTACCGAGCCCTGTTTGTTCTATAGCAAAGAACATGGCAGAGGAGACTGAGATCAGAAAAGGAAACACTGAAGACTATGAGTTTGTAAGTATGAATGTCCTCAGTGTGCTCTGTAGAACCATGTCTAGAGCATCCTCTTCCTGCCTATCCTTCTGTCACTGACACCTGTACTCAAGAAGAATCTCATACACTGTGATTTATCTTAAAACCTGAGCTTTTGAAAAGTCAAGCATGGTAGAGAGGCTTGAGGGTCTTGTATGTGGTTTATTGTCTATACATTTGAAAGATCACCAAACTTACTTTGCTTTTTGTGTCTGAAGGGATGGCAAAGACCCAATATTAGTCGTTATCTTTACTGTGGACTTCCTCTTCTCAGCCACATTTCTTGTCACTCTTTGTTTCAAGCTCAGTGACCTAGATTATTTCCTAAACCAGCCTGTTTTATACACTGGTCATTCCAAACTATCATACTGGTTCTAGGAAACATACCAACCCTCCTCCAGGAAAAATAAGTGGCTTGCACTTAGTATTCCTTATTTAATGATTTGCCTAAAATATAGTCACCTTGTATGACTCACACAGTGAAAGCAGCGGCAGGTAAATTTTTTTTCTAAATGCACAGCTACTGCTCTGCTAAGAAAGTAGGGCATTTAAGCACGTGTGTACATACTCATGTGTCCTCTGATAACCACAGCACTGTGAGTTCTTGGACATTTTTATAAAGTTAGTAAATTTACTTTATATCCAGAGCTCTTAAGCTATTATGATTTCATTTTTATAATTATATACAGCACAAATATGTTTTGCATGTTCTTTTCTGGTTAAATATAACAGAAAACAAGTACTGAGCATTGTAAGTGCTATGAAACTAATAACTTCTGGGTTGATGAATGAATTTCATCTTTAGATATACGCCTCTTTGCTTATTTTCTTAGGAACCTGCTCTAAAATGCTTCTCAGAAACCTTTAACTCAACTGCCCACACTTGTTGATAATTTAAAAAAATTATCAACAGTATAATATGTATACTGTTGCATCATATATAATTACATATATCAACAATATAATACATTGTCTCCCAAATGAGAATGATCAGTAAATTCTATCATAACGTGCAAATTGGAAAGAAAAGTCGATCTAAAATTTGTCTTTAAAATAATAAGAAGCGCTTTGCACCAAATTCCCTAGTGCTTGGCACTGTTCTGCCAAGTTTCTTAGTTTGAAACCAGTTAATTGTCCTCCTTTTAGGTTCAAGATAACATAATAGGTAGTAGTCAATCTGTTCTTTTTGTTTTTAACAGTTAAGAGGATTTTGGTCCATGTTTTATTTTAATTACTCAATTAACTTCTTAGTTGTACTGCTATCTTGGGATCAAAAACCTGCAAATGATTATAGGCTTCATGTTAATAGCAGAAGGAGAGTGGAACTCACCAAGTACAATACTGAGAGGAAGTGGAGAGGCATAGGTTGGGCTGAGCTGAAAACATCTAAGCCTTTAGAAGGTAAGATACATAGTTTGACACATCAATGTTCTATTTTTTAAAAGATCTGCTCCGACTCCCAAACTGGACTCTAATCCTTGGCAATCTAAAACTTAACTCTCCTATTAGAATAGTTGGTGGGTTAACCCATCTCTTTGAAACCCAAGTACTTTAGCACTCATAATCTGCTAAATAAATTACTCCAAAAATAAATGATCATTTGTTTAACACCTTCCAAAACACTTTGGGAAGGGAAAACTATTCTAGAGAGATGAAAGTGGGTGGGAAGGGGGAAGTGTAATAAAAAGATCTTGAATTGAACATGGAAGTAAGTCAGAATTTCCAGTAAAAGTGTTTACAATGAAAACATAAAGGCCTCCAAACAAACTTTCTTTCCCAGTGAGTTATTGCCCACTCTCCAGTACTATGAAGAACTGACTTCAAGGTCCCCAGAAAAATGGTCCAGTCTCAAAAAAGCCTTTTACACTGTTCCTTTCTCAGAAAAGAGCTAAATCTTTCCACAGAGGAGCTCAAGAAGGCTTCAAAAAGTCACTATTTTTATCGTGTGAAGTAGTAACCCCTCCCTTTCAACTGCAGCCCTTGACCTGTCCCACTTTGCAAAGTCCCACAGAAAGGCATTTCATGTCAGGCCGAGATGATACTGCAGCTGTAGGGGGGCTTTGTATGAACCAGGCATCTGCAAGCATCAGCCTCATAGCCGAATTAAAGTTAGGATGGTGAGGTGACCATTCTACTCTGCCCTTGGTCAAGTCTCTCGGCAATGGGGCAAGCGCCCCTTTTAGGAGTTGCTAAATGCTGAGGAGTTGAAGGACAGAAGGGTAAAAGGACAGGGGATAGAGGAGGCTGGTCAGACGGGGTATGGAGTTAGAACACGCGGGGGAGGGTTTCTGGACAGAAGTACCAGACCTCCACATCAGCAGGAGACCTCCTGGCAGCCAAAGCCTAGCTATTCGCAGAACCTCCACAGCCCCCCTCCCCCCCGGGGCGTCCCAGCTGGGGTCGACCTCCTCGGACCAGCACAGGAGCTCTGCCCTCTACACAGTCTAGCAACCCACAGTCTGCCTTTTGCTGCAGAAGTGGTGGCCTCCAAGGGTGCTCAGCCTCCACACCCACTGCCTGCCTCCCCGCCCACCCACACTCCTCTGCATCCGCAGGCGGCAGCCCCCTCCGAGGGCGCCACCCCAGCGCCCCGCTGTTTTTGCTAGGTTCAGAGTCTGGGAGCTAGCAGCCACTTGCTGCCCAGCCGTGAGAGTTCCGAATGCCAGTGCGGCCCCGGGGCTGAGCTCCAGGTGTCAGGACGGCCGCGAAGAGCCGTGATCTAGTGCTCCGCAGTGCCAGCCCCGGGAGCCTCCATGGCCTGGCCGCCACTGCAGGACAGCGGGTCCCCCGCCCCCTCCGACAGGGCTCTAGACACAAACACCACTCTGGGTCCCTTCCCACCCTGCTCCCAGCCGGGAGACGCCACAGGCTGCGCCTAGCCTCCTTAGCCACGGCCGCCACCACCAGGCAGCCCTCGGGCCTGGCCGCCCCCGGGTTGCTCGCCTACGGCTCTGCTGCCCCCAGATCCCTCAGACTAAGACTCTGGGAAATGAACCCTGGGTCCTGGCTCCCGGAATCACCCGCATTTGCATTTCTTATGTAATGTACTGCAAGTTTCCCTGACGGAGCCCTTTGGAATGGGGGGCATGACCGCCAGGAAGCGTAAGGCAGGGAACCCATGTCCAGGCTCGTCCCACACACGGTGCGGGACCCGCACGCAAGGTTCTGACACTTCGAATGCCACATCCTAGAGGAACCCGACTCGTCTCTCAGTCCCGGGTTCCCCTGGCACAAGCCTGGCTCAGTGTTCTCAGGGGCTGAATGTGTTAGAAGCAGGCTGGGGAAGGAGTTAACGTTCAGGCACCCAGAACTAGACGGGGGAGGGAGGCGGGGGCTGACGGAGGCGCCGGGCCGTGAGGGAGGGGGCACTTTTACTTTGCTAAAGGTGATGGGGTGGTGAATATTGTGCAAGCTAATCAGAAAGTCTGGAGCTATGTCCCCGAAGGAGAGCAGAAGTGAGGCAAGCTCACGGCTCTTTCTCCCGGGCAAAGGCTTAAGCGATAAGCCCTCCAATATTTCATCACACATAGGCAACCAAATCCATTTAGTGGGGGGATTAAAAAAAAGTTTCCTCCTCCCTCCTAGTGATGGATTGTGTCACAGCCAAGAGCCGCTGATCGTGATTTTCGGGTTCAGAGGACGCAGATCCGGCGGCTGCGTGTTTATTCATGCAACACCTCTATATGCAACACGGTCCGGGTTTCTAGTATGTTTCCCTGGCCTTCTGCATAGCATGACTGCAGACCTAGCTCGGTGAGCAACAGACAGGTTATTACGAGGAAAAACAGAACAGGATGCATGCTTTGCTTACCAGTTGGGTTCTTGTTTTTCTTAAGACTCTTGCCACAAAGACACTGCAGCATATGCGTTCCTTTGCTGAAAATGTTCCAAAGAAACCACATTGATTTGGGCGAAAAGCAACCCAGCAGCTTAGACACCCTGAGAAAGAAGAGATCCTTGTGGTTGCATAATAATAATTTGAAATCAGTTCTCCTGAAGAGGGGCACCGGTTTTACCATAGGAAAAACGTTAATATTCCGGATCTTCTCCCAGTTTTTTCCCCTCACGTGGTATATTTCTTTGAGACTTCTCAGTGATTGTTTTTTCTCGGCCAGGGTGAATGATTATTTATTTTCCCCCCTTGATCACCACTGGATTACGACCAAAGGGTTGGGGGAAAAAAATCCTTTTTCAGCGTGAAGCCAAACAAAAAAGCAGAGAAATCCCAACGGAGAGCAAAACTAACCGGGGAGCTCAGTAATGCACAAAAGATCCCCAAAGGGGAAATCATAGCCTTTTACTCGATGGCTCTGAGGATGGGCGGATCTGCAGAAGGCAAGCTGGATTCATCTTAGCGAGAGAAGACTGCCATTGTGTTGCCCCTAGGAGAGAAGGGGGGAAAGGAAAAGAAAGAAAAAAAAGAAAGAAAGAAAGAAAGGGGGGAAAAATAACCACCACGCACACTCACACACCAATACCACCTCCGAGATGGGTCTGGCAGCTGAAGACCGAGCCTCCCTTCTCCCACGGTTAATAATTTTTTTTTAAATAAGCAATCGCCAGAGCTCCGTGGGATCGGACTGAACCCGCAGTTCTCAATCACGAAGAGAAGGTGTAAATGTAGGTGCCCCCTCCCCTTGTCAGTCTCGTAGTAGGTAGAAAGCGCCACAAATCCCCTTCCTCCTTCCTCGCACTCTTCCAGTCTCCAGCCTCCGTGAGCATGAGGAAAATCTCCCCTCCGGATTCCTAGCCCAGCCTCGGATGTGAGTTACAGGCATTAGAGGGAGGAGGAGGAGGAGTTGAAGTTTGCATTGAAAAGACTGGCTTTCCATGACGTAGCCACGTGCTTTCAGACCCGTCACCAGTGAGGTGCCTCGACCAGCCCGGGGAGGGACTGTCACTGCAGTGAGTGCCACCCCTCCAGAGCGCTCCCCTCTGCCAGCCCCAGCCCAGCCCCACCCCAGCCCCAGCGACCCTCTCCTTCCTCCCCAACTCAAAGGCCTGCTGCTGGCTTACGAAGTCAGCCTTACAGCATTCTGTTAAAAGTGAAATTTCAAAGGACAATTAACAATTATAATGAGGAAAGCTTAGAAAATACATGGGGGAGGAGTTTAATACCATTGCACACAATCAAAATCAGCTCCACCTTTCCATCCTCAAAAGCAGCTTGTAAAGCAAACTCACACATTAAGAAAAACTTAAGTTCTTTTCATATCTCAGTATATGACCCCCTACTTAAAGTGTTGATGAAAGAACATGAAGGAGGTAGATGGCAAATACATACTTCTAGAAACAGCCTGTTAAACAGACAAACACTGAAATCAAGATGGAAAAGCATATTTTTGTGGGGAGGGTCATGTGTACATGATAGCATTTATGCCTTTTCTTAACAGAAGATCCATTACCTCAAAATAATTTTCTGGACAGAAAGCACCCTAGTTAGTTCACACTCCAACTGGATGCTATGTCTGCTTGCTAACTAAGTTAGCATCTACTTACCTCCAGTTTATTTCTGCTCTGCATAGTACTCAGACCTCAGCCTCAGCAAAATGGGCACAGTCTAGCCCAACTTTCTATTTACCCAGAAAATCAAATTTCAGAGTAGAACTGTTGATCTTTTTTTAGAAAAAAAAAAATACAACATATGATACCATACAAACTGCTACAAAAAATAATGTGACCAATTCCAGTGTCCTGCTACCAAAAATTATCAAAAACTAGCATTGATTCATATTTGTGAGCTGAGCATTCAGGAGTAGTGAAACTAACTACTTTTTACTCTCTTTAGGTAAATAAGTTAAAGTTATGCCCAGTTGTTTCCATTTGAATAGCAAAACTCTAATTTCTAATTTAGAAATTCCAGGTTATTTATTTAAAAATTAAAACCACTGCCTCTACCATCAAACTATCCTCTAAATAATACATGAAACAGATGGAGATTTGAAAATTGGTAGAAGAGACTGGTTTTTAAAATAAATTTCCTGATTATTATTTGTCCAAAAAAAAGGCTACTCTTGAGTACTCTAACAATGAAGAGACATTTCCAAGTGCTAAAATTTGCTACAAATATCTTTTGGGGAAATATCAATGGATTTTACATTAGGATGGAAGAGTGTATTAAAACAAGTGAATTCTATTAAAATTAAGAAGCTAGGGGATGAAATGGTAATACCTGTCAAAACAATCTTGTCATACAGCTTAAAGAAACTAGTAAGATTAAATACAGTCTAAAAATGTTTGGGAAATAGAGAACACAGGAATTCAGTGACAAATGTCTCACTATAAAGCAACAGACTGGGCAAAAATAAAGATCGAAATTCTTTTTCGAAGGAGGAAAAGTAAGATAACATTGTCAAATGATTAATTTTTGTATTAATCAAGCTCAGCTCTTTCATGCTTCTTCTCTGAACATTCTGGTATCTTCCAGGAAGTTGCAGAATACCCTAATCTATATGCCAGAGGACAACTGAGCAAAAAGCACTGGCAGTCAAGGTCCTCCACCAGGCTCTACATTCTACAAAACTTGAGAGTTCTCTAGGGTATTTCCAAAGTAGAGTATGTTTAGGGAGATGAGCTGTAATTATTGGGTCTTTTTAAATGATGAGTCTGTATAAAAAATATTTCTCAAACCATGGTTTGGGAAATTCCAAAGTCTACTCTCTTCTCTAATACAAGAAAGAGAATTTTATCAACTAGTACATCATTTGACATCAAACCTGTGGTTTCCTTTGCTACCAATTGGTGAAGAATTTCTTTCTTTGTCCTACTTATTGAGACTCTATTATGCCAGGCATGGTGCTAATGTCTCCTCATAATCTTTTGTTTAAAGGGAGAAACATTTTTGAACATTGACAAAGCATCATTTTTGTCTAGAAGAGAGATGATTAACACCAATTTTGATGGTCTCTGACTGGCAAAGTCAGTCAGACATCCAGAATCTACTAAGCATCTACTGTAAAAGGACTGTGCAGAGCTCCATGTTGGAAACTAAGTTATAAGACTAAACCAGGTTTCCAGTGGCAGAAGAGAAACCAAAGGTAGTCTAGGAGTTAAGACCAGTTTCTGGAGGCTTCCATCTCAGATTGGAGAAGGTCCACAGATGGTTATCAAACTAATTCGAGTTCCAAGATCTCATTTATGTTTTGTTTTGGAAGATAGTAAAATGTTTGCTTTAGCCACACTGCATTCAAGTCAGTAGTACACAGCAAAAATAAAAAATAATAGAAAAGAATTCAAGTCTTCAAACATTCATAAATAAAATTTAAGAACGGATAGAAAAATCTGTAGTGCTTTGGTTTTAAAATTCATATTACTATGTGTTCCTAAGACTACAATAAATATACACAGCAAATTCATTTACAAATTAGTTACCTTCATTGTATCATAGCAAACAAATCAAAAAGCAAACCCCTGTTCTTCTTCTCCCATGTTCTTGCATTGACCGGTAGCAGTTTAAACCTCAGTCTTACCTCCTAAAAGAACCACTCTGGGAAGGTCCCTTCTCTCCCTTTCTCTGTCCCTCCCTACTGCACAAGTAATGACTCATGGACTTACTTGGCTGACCCCACTTCTTTCCTTCCTCTGTAACATGTCTGTCAAGAAGTTCTCAGACGCCTACCTCCTCTGCTTCATGTAACAAGGAGTGGGTCCAGCTCAGAGCCCATGGATAGATCTGGAAAACAATCTCTCTCTACACACTTTGTGGGCTTATAGCAGACATCAGCGCCCTGTGCACATCCTTTTCATCAACCATGTCCTGTGGTTGACCTCTAGCTGCCAGTATCTCCATCTTTCAGCCTGAGGTATTTTTATCCAAACCACAGAAGTTCCCTCTGCCTAGGCACTCACAAGAAAGCCTCAGAATTAATTCTCCACAGGAGGATATTCCCACCACTAAATACTCCAGCTCCCTTGTCTCTTGGGAGGGACAGTGATGAAGCCTGTGTTTTACATCTTTTCTCAAATTTCTCTGAGGGATCAAAAGGCATTCTTTAGCAAGAGTAGCTGGCTTATCATCATGTTACTGGCTCTCTCCACTTTCTTGTCTTCTCTCCTAAGAAAACTATCTTCACTATCATGTTTTCTGGTGACAATCAAGCCAAGGCATCAGAACCTGGGTACATGTGCCTGTTCCCTGCTCCAAACTCCAAGTTCTAAATGGAGGCAGTATTGAAGAAGACTAGTTCTTTTATACAGATCAAGTTTCCTTCCTTCAAATAACTTTATCAGTAATATAATCAATAATTGTTTTTCCATCCCTCTAAGTGATGTGGCCATTTTTTTTATTGTGCCTGAACTCAGAAGTTGGGAGAAAAGAAGCAGTATTGATTCTCACTTCTTTTAACCTGCAAATAGTGGGAAATAATGTAAGGGGGAAATCCTCTTTGTTCCTATTTTTCGGCCAGACTTCTAAGCCATTATTAGCGCATGGTACCATGTTGATAAATAATTGCCTTGAGTTTGTAATGGTTTCCTCAATATTTAAACACCTGGTATGACAATAAGACCTTCAATGGAGTGTTCACCTGTTTATCCCTCTCACACACACATGCATTGATTAATTCCTTCTAGAAATGTTTACAGAGCAGCCAGCCCAGCATAGGCTTCCAGTGGAGCATGGTAAGAATCAGCTTGAAGAAGTATCATGTCTCTCTCTGAACTGAATTAAAATGACTTATTGAACTTATTTCTTGTATTTCCTCAAAAAGAGGCTTATAAAATCAAACTGAGCTCTCAGATATTATCTGACCTGTAAATCGAAACATCCTGCATAGTTAAAATGTGTCATTTATAAGGCAATTTATCAAAATTAATGTGAAAATTTCAATAAAAATTGTGTCATATATTCTTATATTTAGTTTATAAAAATGAAGGAATGTTTCAACTAGGAAAGAATTCATATTCCAAAAATAAATACTATAAGTCTGTTGGACCAGAGGTCAAAAAACTAAGGTTATTTAACTTGCTTTGTACACCAGACTACTATTTTACTTATATACATATTTAGTTACTCATGCACTGAATACTTATTTTCTTTAATTCTCACTGCGAACACTACATTTCAAGAGAAGTCCTGTTATACATCAACAGACAACCTCATGAACATATATTTTAGATTTAATGCACAAAATTGAATTGCTGTCTATAAAGGTGTGAAAATGTTTAAGATGATGTGCTTTAACATTGATTCTGTTTAATGCATTATTGGTACCTGGATAATAATATGCTTCTACTTTATTGTTTGATGGAACATACACAAATGTATAATGATTTCAGCATAACTTCTACTTAACTTGATAAAATAAAAATGCATACTTAATTATATCCAGACCAATTTTTAATTAATTTATAATATAAATAAAATAGATATACAAAAAATCATACTTAGCCTTAATAGCAATCATTTACCCTTAATTCAGTGCATATCTTCAAACTCTGATACAAATTAGCATATTTTTATTTTATCTTGTAAAGTAAGCAATGAGGAACTGGAGAGATGACTCAGCAGTTAAGAACACTGACTGTTCTTGCAGAGGACCTGGGTTTGATTCCCAGCACCCACATGGCTAACAACCATCCATAACTCTAGTTCCAGGGGATCTGATGCCCTCTTCTGACATCCACAAACATTGTACAACATGGGTGCACTTAAATACATGCAGACAATACACTCATACACATAAAAAATAGTTTTAAAATAAACAGTGATTTATAGAGGTATTCCCAGGATTGGGCATGCATCTGTTTTAAAGTCCACTAGTA